GGCAGCGGTGGGATCACGGCAGTGTACACTACAACGCTCACGCATCCAAGGCTGATGCACAGTGTTGTTTGATCTTTTCACTTAAAACAGTCCACAACGAGGGAGGATGGAACTATGAGGCGATCTGCACGCAGTAGATTGCATTTCTAGACAACCATCGTCAAGAACAGCTTGCCTGAACTTTTCCTCTGCCACACAGGCTGGCTCAACAAGCGACACAATATCTTCCTCCTTTCCGAGCTCTGCTTCTGAGGTAGGTGCTGGCAGGCAAGAAAGTGCATCTGCAACAATGTTTGTGGACCCGTTACGGTATTTAACAGTGAAGTTATAACAGACAAGTCTTGCACACCAGCGTGCGATTCGAAGTGGGCAGGTCCCTGTGTTGACAGCAAAGAGACAAGTGCCTGGTGATCTGTTTGAATTTTGAAATGGCGACCCCAAAGGTACATGTACCATCGTTCACAAGCCCAAATACATGTCAAAGTTTCTCGTTCCCCAACTGAATACTTTATCTGAGCTGGGGACAGTGTATGCTTTGCGAAAGCAACTGTGCGAAGCTCTTGGCCATCTTGTTGCTGGAGAACTGCTCCCCAGCCCACAGTCGGAAGCATCTGTCAACACGATGACTGGAAGTTTTGGAGCGAACATTTGAAGGACTGGACTCAAAGAAAGCATTATTTTCACTCTTCTGAAGCTGCTGTCTGCTTAGCTGACCAGACGAATGGCTCATCCTTGCAAAATAGGACTTGCATAGGCTCGACCACTTGTGCCAAACGTGGAACAAATTCAGAGTAGTATTCTAGACCCAAAGAAGAATAAAGGGCAGCAACATCGGTTGGCACGGAAGTGTTAACTATGGAGTCAATTTTCTCAGGAAGTGGAGAGATACCATGTGCAGTGACCTTGTTCCCTAAAAATGCGAGCTCTGGAACGTCAGACACATTTGTTGTTCTGTTTCAGGCCTGCATCCTTAAGCAGTTTTCAAGTTCAAGAGATGTTCTTCGGCAGTCTTGCCAAAAGAAATCACATCATCAGTGTAGAATAACACGCCAGGGAAATGGGCAAGAATTACTGCCATTATCTTCTGAAATACTGCTGGGGCAGAAGCTAACCCAAAGCATACTCTCTTGAACCGAAAAAGTCTATCGTGAATGATAAAAGCTGTCAGGTCCCTGCTGCCAGGGTGCAAGAGAACCTGATTATAAGCCGAAGCCAAGTCGAGTTTTGAGAAGTGTGTTGTGCCTACCACAGCATGGAGGAGCTCTTCTATGTGCGGCAATGGGAAACTATCTGGAACAGTCGCCTTATTCAACTCTCTGAGGTCTACACAGATTCTGGTGCTGCCATCTATCTTGTCAACAATGACAATGGGGGACACCCACTCAGAAGCATCAATCCCTTGATGATGTCAAGGCTTAGTTTAATAATTTTGAATCTAATTTGACACTGGCGCATGGAGCGAATATGGCAGATAGTGAAGCTTGGAAGTTACCGACATCGTAATGCCGTCTCTACAAGCGAGCCCTCCAAGCTCATGCGCAGGTTCAATTGAACAGTCTTGGATGCCACACAATGTTTCGTGTAGAAATTCCCAGATGTGCAACGCTTGCCTTAAGCAAGGTACCGTAGTAGCCTTGTTTCAGCTGATATGGTTCGCCGCAATGCGGCCTCCTGTCGTTCTATGAGAGATCCCACAAGCGCCAGCAACTGAATAAACTGCGCTATTGACACTCACAGCAGCCTCCTGTATTCTTCGGTATCACTAATCAAACCTCACGGTACAGTTGGTGTTGCATATGCACATGCTTGCGATGTAGTCCTTTTCCCAGCAAGAACTTTCTGTGTATAAGAAAAGTGCCTCATCATGTAACTCTGATAAGGCAGCAGCCATTGCAGCTAATTGTTTCTTTCTTTCGAACTCGATTTTCAACTTAAAACAAACTCTGCGACAAAGACGGAAGCATAGAAACCTTCAATACTTTTCCTAGCGTGAATGTGTTTCTGACTTTCAGACTGCTCACCCCATCTAGAGAAAAAAACAACAAGCAAGCATTCGCACATTATTGTGACTTCTGAGATACAGTTGCACTATCGCAGATTACTGAGCTCACGCTCAGTGAATAGAGCTACTTGCTAAGCCTTCAGAAAATGAGTATGGCGCTCAAGTTGTCATGAATATGTTGCCGGCAATACTTGCGGACACACAATCACCCGTTTGGGACTGACCTTAACATTCAAACCGGCTGCTTTCGCTTCAGACAGTGGTGCCATATTTTTTCTTCTCCAGCACATCTCATCTGCCGTTCAGCTGCGCCTGGTCTCAGAAAGTCTCAAGTTCCACCCATCGACAAATGGGGGCGAAAAACTCAACAGTTAAAGAAGAATCACAATGACTCTGTTCAAATCTGCTCTCAGGGACGCAAAAAAATCTGCTAGAGGCACTAAAGTAAGCTCAAAATATAAAGCGAAGAGAGCCACGATTTTGAAAAAAAAAGTGCTCTTCTCTACACAATTCAAAGGCCACATTCGAATTCCGCGTTGTGTGTAGTACTTCTGAGCACTAAATTTGTTTACTATAGATTTCTTATGGGGGACGAAGCAGAAAACATGCGCCACCGCTGTTATTTTTCATCGGATCAGTTAGATCTCATCTGAGCATTATTTTATTGGCCTCTGTAAGTGATTTCAATTGCTGTAGGTATAGTCGCTGCACTGCTGTAATGTGCCGCGGGAACTGTCATACCTGTGAATGCATCGATTTCTGCAAGCTGTACGGCAATGAAAGGTAGATTCTTTTTGCCAATGCGTGCATATCTGTTGTTCTTTGTGGGCCATTTCACACCGAGGCCTTGTTATCGCTGTTAGTGTTGTATATTTGTGCACTACGTTCATTTGCACTGATCCTGCACGTGTTCAAATGCTTGCACTTCTCTCAACTTTCGCTCTACCGTAACTTCTTTGCAAAAAACCCTACTTCTTTGTGTCTTCAGCTGGACCGTACTATGTCGTATTGGAATAAAAAGGGAGGTTGTTAAGCCTTGCTCGGCAAAAGCAAGAGCTAAAATTTGAAGCGTTCACTGAAGAACCTCATTCATGCTGATTTTTACAACTGTTTTGTAATGATAGCTCTTACAAGCGAAACACTCTTTTCTGTTCGTTTCGCTTCTGACGAGGAAGGCATGCCGTCTCGATAATGGTTCTAACACAATATATTTATTTTTTTTTTTGCATTGAAACATGATATCTGGTTTACTGTCAGTAAATGATATTGTTCCTCGTACCCATTCGTGAATTGTTTTTACGGTTCCAGCTGCTGATTAATGGGGGCTTCAGTTCTATGTAACCTTTGTACGCAGAGGCATTGTGTTCTAAAGGACACTTTGGCATGCTGTTGGGCATATTGACACACTTAAAACAAGCGCGCGAAAAATAACAAGACACCCGTAGCCCTACACAAGTCCTGGTCTCTTTCGTCCACTTCTGTTTAAAAAGGATAGCCACGGAATAAAGTACCAGCCGAGGCACGCGCGTATGTGCATACGCTCCCAGTTCGGAATACAAAGTGCGGCCATTTGCTTTCTTTTCTGCAAAAAATAAAAAAAAAACAATAAATTTTGTTTTTTCTTTGTTTACTCAGCGCCATCTCTTGGGTGCCCTCGGTAGTTCCATGTGCTACCGCTGCTTATTTAGCGTACTGTTGTCAAGTCTAGTTTTTCTTCTCTAAATTGGTTCTTTATTCTATAGCTGCACTTCTCATCCAGACGGCCGGCGAAATGATCGTCCGCGGAAGAGATTTCCGTGGAAAATCCCGTCGTGAGGATTCTCACTTAATGAAAGTTTTATACATTCTACCCATGAGCATGCACTTGAATGGTTACTATCACTGGCAGAACGAGTTAAGTGATTTCTCTTCACAGTGGTTTGGTCGTACCATATCTTACCCACGGATACCGATTCATCCTTTCAACTACATTTTGTTGGATACCTATAGTGCTACGTTATTTGAAAGTGCGACATTACTCTGTGGAACATATCACTAGTGATCACGAATAACTCGATTGGTGCTTGCAACGGTACTCACATGGCCGCTCAGTTGGTCACATATTGTTTATAGGGATCACAATGTTTATTTTTTTCAGCCACGGTCACACTGCCATCGCTACTGATTCACTCATTCCTCATTCTACACATCCTGATAAAGTCCTCCTTAATGTCATTCCAAAGCTATTCACTTCGAACATTTCTGAAAATTCTGCGTCTCTTTAAATGGCGAAGTAGCCAGGATTAAATTCTCCCTCGGCTGAATTAAATCGGCTGGAAGTTGGATAAGGTTGACTGGGGCATTGATTAATATGTCTGGCATTAAGAATAACTTAAGCTAGAAAACTTGTAGTAACTAGTTACTGGTTCAAAGATTGGTCAAAAGGGGATAAATTGCAACTTCAAGTTAAGATATTTGCTGCCAAGCATAATAATGCTACCTTTGTGGGTGTTTTACCTTTTCTGATTGGTTGACCCACATCAGTGTTCTGTAATGCATGGTGTCTTTTTTCACGCTGTTCAAAGTCAAAAGCATAATTTTTTGGCTATGGGACAAAGGCGTTCTCGCTGCCACAAATCTGACAAACAATCGTCTAATTTTCAACACAACCTAAAATAAAATTTGCAAGCAGTAGACAGTTCTTTTAAGTCATTGTGATATGCTGCTATCACATTCATTTGTTAACCTGCGGAAGTGGCTAGTAAATTTTTCTTGCCATTTGTATGTTGGCCTAGTGGGAGTAGGACCAGCCGGGTATAAAAGGGCTGCTCATAGCCCTAAAAATTTTTTGTGCAAATGCATTCAGCTTGTAAATCCAAGCTAATCAGTGTCTCTCTCAGTAGCAGGTATGCAGGTGTCATGCTTGAAACTAGATCTTGAATTTTGCTTTACAGTTCACAGTAGACATTGTGCTTCCATCTTCTACAAAGCATGACTAAACTTGTCCCATATCTTGCAGGTTGGCCAACAACAACATAGTTATCAATTACTTGGGCCCCGAAGAGCAACTTCCCGATGACATTGCAAGCAACCCTGTAATAACCTTCGAACAGGCGTTTTCCAACTATCGTAAGTGTGCACATCCATTTGTGCTTTTTTTACCGTCTGTAGTGGTGCATGCAATTTATCCTTCACCAGCATTCTGAATACAATGCTGGGGAACAGCAAGACGCTCAAAACTTTTGGCGGCAAAGACGTATAATGTAACCATCTGCTGGAATCTTTCTGTGAAATATAAATCAACATCACGTGGTCCCTACTGTGCGAAGTGCTCATCAACTGATTCAGGATGTTCAGCCGCGGTTTTTCTCACTTATGCAAGCGTTGGTTGTGCTCGTATCGACTTGCGAACAACCTAGAGTGTTTGCTAGCAAATATTGCCAACGCACAGTCATTGCCTTGTTGTGCACTTTTGATGGAGCACGTGTGCATGGTGCCATGCACGCGCAATGTGAAGTGGTGCTCTGGTAAAAGGTGATTTGTTATAAAATTCATTTAGTAATCTGTAAATCGAAGCACTCTCACATTTCACGTACATTTATGTTTGCTGAGGCAAGCACAATGGCGCGCTCTTGTTCATGCTTTTGCACGGCAAGTGCGCGGGCGTGAGGTGGCGTTTCGATCTGTGTGGACTGCCGCGTGCGATTCATGGCCTCGCCCTAATTTACAGAGCAATATCGAGTGGCCAAAGGTGAACGACACCTTTATTGGTTATTAGGTTCGCGTAGTCTTTCAAAAAGTCACTCATGAGCTCTTTCCTCAAAATAACATTACTGCTCACTACAAGCATGGTTTGTGCACTGGGATTATTAGCAAACTATTATGTATAACAAATCTGTATCAATAAATGGATCTTCACCCACATATATTTTTGTCTTCTTAATCCTCGCTTTTCACTTCTGTGCTCTGCACGGTGTGTATTGACTAAGAGGCAGGAGCATTGCAATAAATTCATGCATTACTTGCTTGACTGTTAGTTGCTGTAAGGGCTGTGTGATGGAGGCGGCAACTAGAAGGCCGAGAGATGGCGCCACAGTTGGTGCCAGTGCCGCCGTCATCGTCATCATCATGAGGATGGACAGGCGCTGCCGGGGAAGGCCTGGCAAGGAGTGTGAAATAAAGCGTGTGTTGGCGGGACGGGTTATGCGTGCTTCTTCTCTAAGAAGTGGGGGCCCGTCCGAGATCAAATGGATCACGTAGTCGTTTCGGAGGAAGTAGTGCAATATCTCATTGGCCTAACAGATGGATCTGCGGTCCTGTGCGAATAAGTCGCCTCCTTTCTACGGCAACGAGTGATGACTGCCCCAGTCACGGCAAGGCCGTTAGGCCTAGGCGTGCAAGTGTCCGCACCGCAACCCTCGCAGCAGCCTGCCATGACTTCCTTGCCGCTCGCAGAACTGCCGTAAGTTCTCGGGCTTCAACGATCTGCAGTCACCAGAGTTTTTTTTTTGGAATGTTTGGAAAATTTTTGGACAATTTTTGTGTGGTGTCTGGGATCGACGAAGTGAAGAGGCTTAGCGACGTGGTGCTGACGGCATCGGAGAGCAGCGTTAAGTTTTGGTGGCAGTTTGTTGGCGCTTTCACCTCGTGTGACAAATTCTCTCATGTTTTATGCGCGGAGTTCGCTTCCATCGACTCAAAATGCCTCCTGAAGAAGGAGCTTGAGCAGCGAATGCAGCACCTAGAGGAAAATTTAAAAGAATTCATTTATGTGATATTGGCGTTCTACGATTGCATCAGAGAGCCAGTGTCTGACAAAGAAAGGGTGCAGTAAGTTCTCTGCCAAATGCATCCCCAGCTGCAAGACCTGGCTGAAGAGTCGTCATTTACGACCATGAAGGAGCTCACTGTCGCGGCAGGTAGGTTGATGCAGAAAGCGTGGCGGCGTTGGCAGTACAGACCACTGCCACCGCCAGCAAATCAGGTCGCAAGGGACCTGGCAATCCGACCACACATGGCAGCTGCTAACGCTGTGGGACCACGGCCAATGACGGCGGCTGTGGTTATGACTATGTCTACCGCATTGGCCTCGCCATACCACTGGCCACTACACCCTGCAGGGGTTCAACTGTCATATGTCCGCAATCAGTTATATTCGGCCTCTACCGTACCTACGCAGATGCAACCGTTAGCCTTTGTCTCGCCACCGGCTGCTCATTGGCAGCAGCCTAGCTCACGACAGGTCCACTGCCAGCGCTGTAAAGGGATCGGCCATGTTGCCCGCCAGTGCACCACGACTAGGCAAAATGTGCCGCCGTGTTTCAACTGCGGTCTACCCGGGGCACACGTGGGCCGAATGCCAGGACGATCGGTTTCTGAGAAACTGACGTTGGTAGATGCTGTGCCGGCGGGCATCTAAGACAGTGTGCTCCAGGTTGTAACTGCTGCTGGCCGAAAGGAACCTCTGCTTGATATTTGCATCGGAGCGACGACGTTCCAGGCACTCTTAGACACTGGGTCCAGCGTAAGTCTTCTGGGACGACAGGTGATTGTGGCCGCCGAAGCTACAGGGGCCAGCCATAAGAGAGAGATACGTGCGCTCCGATTGGCTGCAGGCTGGTCCCAATATTCTACCCAGTGCAAAATACATTGGGTAGCAAGCTCTCGCCGACAGCGTTTCTTGTGTGTGCCCAACCTTTGTAGGGACATAGTACTCGAAAGAGACTTCCTGACTGTGGCCGGAATATCACTTCATGCTGCAGTTGGAGGTTGGACAATCGGGACTGAACCACACTGCACAGTGCCTTTCATTAAGAGAGAGCACCAGGTTAAAGGAGGGCTAGACAGTGCAGAGACCTGCGGTTTGCAAGTAATATTTGCCGAGCAACCGGAGCATGCTGCCAACTCGGAAATAATCAATTGCCAATAACCCCACACACCTCGCGGCTCAGGTCAATGTAGACACACGTCTAGCAGAAGTGCTTGAGAACTTCAGCCCAATCATTAGTGCTACTCCAGGTTTCACTACACTTCCTGAGAACTGCATAGACACTGGGGAAAGCCAACCTGTACGTTACAATCTTCATCTTGTCAATGCTAAAAAAAGGCCATTATGGACAGCTCTTGCTGATCTTCTGGAAAATGTTTTTATACGCCCAAGCACCAGCGAGTGGACAAGCGCTCCTGTTCTGGTTTAAAAGAAGTCCGGTGGCTTCCGCCTTGCAGTTGATTATCGGCCACTGAATAGCCTTACAAGGCTGCCTTTTTATCCCATGTCCAGAACTGACTGGCTCTTCGCATAATTGGGTCAAGAGAAATGGTTCTGAAGTTTTGACCTTTTGCAGGGGTTTTTCCAGATTCCAGTACGTGAGCAGGATATTCCCAAGATTGCATTTATCTGCCACCAGGGCACCTACGAATTGACTAGAATGCCCTTCGGTGTTGCAGGTGGGCCAGCGACCTTCCAAACTTTGGTGGACACTGTGTTAGCGTAAATCACAGATTTGCAATGGCATTCTTTGACGATGTCCTTGTTTATTTAGACACCCTTGATGACCACATGGAACACATTCAATGTGTATTTGAGCGCATCAGAAGAGTAGCCCTCATCATTAATTCAGACAAGATCCAACTCTGCTGCAATTTCCTAAGTTCCTTGGACATGTCATTTCACCTGGAGAGTGTAGACCTTATCAGGGCAGGGTGTTTGCTGTGTTGCACTACCCTGCGACAGTCACCTACGACAGTCAAACAGCTTCAAGCCTTCCTAGGCTTGGCAGGCTATTATAGAAGCCTTATACCTCAGTTTTCTGTCATAGTGCACTCCCTGACCAGCCTTTTGAAGAAAGATGCACACTGGCAGTAGACAAATCATTAAGACGGCGCATTCGAGAAACTAAAGGACTCCCTGGCTCATGATGCCATAGTGAACCTTCCTGATCTCAACCGGCCCTTTATTGTCGAGACAAACGCTAGTGGTTGGTATTGGAATAGCAGCGTACTTCTCCAAGCAAGCTCTAAAGAATTGAGGTCTGTGTGATTTATAAGCAGGGTCTTCACTGAGGCACAGAAACAGTACACAGTGCAGGAATGGGAACTCCTGGCAATGGTCTGGGCAGTAGATAAATTGAGGCATTACCTCGAATTTACAAAGCTTGAAATTCATTACGGCCATTCTTCTCTGTCCTAGATGTTTCACACAGATCAGGCCTCACCAAAAGTAATGCAGTGGGTCCTTTGGCAGCAGGGTCTGAACTGCAAAGTCAAGCATAAGAGAGGACCTGCCAACATTCCGGCTGACGCGCTTAGCCGAGCTCCCTTGAACTGTCCGGACGGCCGAAGCCAGACACTACCTGAAACATTGCTTCCCATTACCATCCAAGAGCCCGAGCAACACATCAGATTTGAGACAGTTTCCCCTCATTCCACGGCAGACGATATCACTCTCCTGAGTGATAGTGAATGTCTGGTTGAGCAACAGAGTCATGATTCACTGCTTGCCAAACTGAAAAGTGTCATGCAGGGCACGCCACTCCTAGAGAACGGCCCCTGACCACCCCTAATAAAGACGTGGCTGCTTCGACAAAACTGAAGTGTAGTGGGTTACTCGTCTAGCAAAGAGGAAACCAAAAAGTGCCTTGGCTACCAGTGTGCTTGTGGACTCTAGTGTTTGAAATTGCACATGATCACCCCACTAGCGCACATGATCACCCACCCCACTAGCGGATATGCATGTTTTTTCGAAGTATTGCAGCGTGTTTCTTCTCGCTTCGTTTGGTTAGGTATGCGAGCAAACATATCTGAATATGCTACAAAATTTGCCAGCGTACCAAGTCTAATCTCCAAAAGCCAGAAGGCCTTATGAACAGCCAGTGGGCCACTACTGCCAATGGAGGAGCTCAGTGTAGACGTCAATGGACCGCTACGGCTCACACCACGGCGCCACCAGTACCTGCTGGTAGTGGTAGACAAGTTAACATGGTTCATTGAATTGTTTCCTTTGAGAGCCGCCACCAGCGAAAACATTATTGACTGTATGCGGCAAGTCTTCAGCTGCCATGGCATACCGGCATCAATTTCTAGCGACAACGGCCTTCTCTTCATCAGCACACTTCGAAAAGACCTTCCGA